CTCTCTCTCTCTCTCTCTCTCTCTCTCTCTCTCTCTCTCTCTCTCTCTCTCCCTCCGTCCCCATACCCCCAGCTCTCATTTCGATCTTTCCATTTGTCCATTCCTCGACCCTCCTCACCACGTGCATATGCCTACGTACTGCTGATGCCCGGCATTTTTCAACGCCCGCCGGACTTGTGACTCTCCCATAACAGATCAGGAATTTTATGCAGGAGAGCAACGACACCCCAACGCCGCCCAAGTACAACGCCCCGGGGGGCGCCTCAAGGGGAGGGGGGGGAGGGGGAGGGGGGTACTACGAGCAGGTGCGTAGCTTGGTCGGATGTATGAGGCCACATCAAACAGCTTAATAGTGGTTTTGGTATTTTCAATCTTGTCCAAAGAACCGCGTACAGTAGTGGTGGACCCAGCAGTCTCCGCAGCAAAATTGATTAAGCAACGGGATAAAGTATTCAATCCGTGCGTTAGGGTTAGGGTTAGGGTTAGGGTTGGAGTTAGGGATAGGGCCTGCGTGCCTCTTACATATATAGATGCTCTTTAAATCCTACGTAGGCGGTCCGGTGGTCCCGGTTTTCCACGGTGAATTGACATGCGTCAAATTACCGGGGAATATCGGGACGCGCGCTATTGGGGAAGGCTAGCAAAACAGGGGAGTACTTGCCAGGGAATCGTTCCTGCGATACATCGGGAACCGCGTTGGTCGGGACCACTAGCGCTGTATCAGGCGGTTCGATCTTTTCCGTAGAACGTTTGTGGCCGTAGCCGCTTCATGTGCAGGCGGAACAGCGCCGGGACCTGTGATGCATCCCACATGCCGGTGGAAATCCAGTCAGCCTACATTGTACACAAGCGGGGTTGGAGAGCTTGGGGGACACTAGTGGATTGGAGCGGCGCTGCCACACGCTGTGTTTGAAACGAAGTGGTTCCCATATATGTCCGAGCCAGGCGTGCAACGCGAGCTGATGCCCTTTCGGGTGATCCCCCCCCCCCAATCATTTGGGAATATATCCTCGTTTTCGACACCAACCAGGCATATTCCTCGTTTGCGGGACCGATTTTCTGGCGTGGAATCGACGGTAAACGTTTGTTATGGTGTAAGCAGTTTTTTTTTTTCTCGTCTTGCCTGGATACAACAACACATGTCTGCAATGGTACACGGCATCTCGCTTCCGCTATCAGAAGGCTTCAGTTCCCGTGTATCCAAGTGTTGCGTTTTCTGTTTTTGCCTGCCTCCCGACGGTCACTCGCAGCAGGAGGGCGATCAGCGATGGGCAGGTGGGGCAAGCGGGGGTGGGAGCTACGGCGGCAGCCCCCCGGAGCCAACAGGGGTAGCGAATCCCTTCAAGGTGCCTGTACAGCACGTGCTCATGTTGTTCATGGCTCGTGTGCTTGTTGTTGTCATGGATGGTGTGGATGTTGTTGGTTTCGCATTCGAAGCCGTTCCAAATCCTCAACCAGCGTAGGGTCGGAGGCTCCCTTGCGATGCGATTCTAGGCAGTAGGTGGTGACGAGTTTATGCAAAAACAGGCCAACTACGGGGAAGAGGTGGGAGTGGGTTCGAAGGCGTCTGCGTGTTTGCTCTCGATTGTCGGCATCACTTACGCGGAGTAGCTGGGCGCATGACGGTGTGCTTTTTCGGTTATGCTATGCTTAGGGAAGTTCTTCGGCGAATTGATGCTAATTGTCAAATAACCACACGGTACGCGTGTACCCGCACACTGTCACATTCACACGGCGTCACCCCCACAAATCCTCTCGGTTAATGAAGCACGCACACACATGCATACACGTGCACTTCTTTCTGTTTTCAACCGAGCGGAAACTGACGTCTTTTCGTTCGTCACCTTCGGTCGAGGCTAACGATAATATTCGCTCGCACACTGCGCCACGTACACCATCACGACATCCAGCCACCGCCACAGGACAGCAACCCGTTCGGGGACGAGCCAAGCGCTTCGGGGTGGGCCTTAGAGGTGGAAGCGGCGGAACTGAGGGGTCTGTTCGAGGAGTACGAGCCGGTGGCGGGGAAGCTCAGCGCTGTCAACGCGAGAGCGCCCTTGGTGCAATCAGGCCTCCCGAACGACACGCTACGGTGGGCAGGCGTGTTTTGGGGGATATATATCGGCCGTGATAGGTGGAGTTGTGGATTAGCTTTGAGCGCGGGAGAGTAGCTCACGGCCGTGCATGCCGTATTAGTCGTTGGGCTATTGGCCTTGACGGGGGAAGGGGGAGGGAGTTTTTTTTTTTTTTGTATGTGTCGTCCCGTTTGTTCTGGGGCGTCGGTCCTTGCACATATCGGTGCTACCCTGGACGCACCGGCCTTTGGGCCTTGTTTTCTTGTGTCTGGGAATGTTGGTATAGTTGAGCCCCGATGGGCGAAAACTATCTGGTAGTAATGACGTTTGCATTTCATCCACCTGTCCATCATAGTACGTTTGACAATCCGGTGGAAGGCCTACATGGTTGTTCCGCCGAAGTTGCGCAAATAGTGATGCATCCCCCTCCCTGCTACCTATGTGTGAAGTAACCCTCCCTTTCCGTCCGGGCTTTCAATGGCGACCGGGCCTTCTTCAATCAGTTGCGACCTTACGTTAACCAGGTAGTGAAACCGTAGTTTGGCCCACATCCCCTCTCCAATCCCCTCCAACAATAATGGTATCATCCGCTCCCACGGTCCTTGTCTCTCGCCCCCCGCGCCCAGCGTAATTTGGGATTTGTCCGACATGGACAACGACGGGATGCTTGACCTTGAGGAGTTCACGGTGGCGATGCACCTGTGCGACCGGACGAAAGCGGGGGAACCGCTGCCGGATGGTCTCCCACGCAACATGGTCCCCCCCTCGAAGGCATCCTTGATGTTCTAGGCGATGCGCGTTGTTGGTGCCTGTCTTTCTCGTTCGCGGGCAGTGTGGTCCGTGGCACACGGTCCTGTTCCCCCCGACGGAGGCGTTCTTGATGTTGGTGTTCCTGGTCTACCCTACAGTATGTTGCTCTCCCACCGGCAGCGTCTTCTCCGTGCAGTTGTTTCCGTGGGAGTGTTTGTTGGTCACGTCAGGTTTTACGTCCATAGTGGCAGGCGGGTCGTTCCAGAACAGCAGCAGGGCGGCGGAAGCACGCAGCCTCCCTACGATCGCCCGGTATCACGCCAAATGTTCAGCTGAGCAGGATCTTTGCGACGCGCACTTATGTGGCTGTCCGTGATGCTTGCGAAGCTGAAAATCTCCACGAAACACGGGCCGAGCGTGAAATATGGGATGTGATGGGTTGTCGTACAGGCGTCGTTTCTTGTGCCGGGGCATTTTCTTGGAAATTTCTGGTTTAGCAACGTACCTCTGCCACTCTTTGTTGTTGATGAAACTCCCTTTTTTTTTGCGAAACAGGAGTGGGTTCTTTCCGACAAGACTCAAATGTTGGGGTCTAGCAGAGGTGTTGCTGCGCGACGGATGCGACTTGTGTCATGTGGCGATTTTGACCTTGTTGGCTTGTGCGCCTGCCCCCTGTGCGTTAGTGCCGTGTGATCTCCCTTTGTCTACAAGTACCGGGAGGGACAGTTTTGCGGTGTGGTCCCTTCCCTTGCGTTGCGGGTCACTCGTCGCTGGAACCCCCGTCGGCCAATCACAAGGAGACGAGAAGGTGTACTTGGAACCTGACTTGGATAGAAACCGCGCACAACTTGTGGACCATGTATAGCATGCTATCCTTTCCTGGGGTCACGATGTTTGGGTTCGCGCGGCTGCGGTGTGTTGCGGGGGAAAAGGTTCCGGTTCGTGACGACCCCATAAAGTTTGGCGCGAAAAGACCAGCGTGTATTTTTTTCGCTACCCGCCGCTGGGCGGCCTTGTTGGTCGGACCTTTCTGTACCTGTATTTTTATCTCTCTACGTGCAATGCAGCACAGCATGATTGGGCATGTAGGCATTGTATGTCACTTCAGCCTTCTGTTGTAGTAGTTTTCTTGGGGAGGATGGATGTTGGTCGCCGTTTCGAAACCCTCCCCCCCGGCTCTCGCGTGCGGCGCGATTCGTTTTTGTTTTGATTCATGTGGATCGAATAGTGGCTCAATATAAGACTGTCCTCATTTCGGTCGCTCTACGCTTCATGTTCGTTGGTGATGGTGCAATCACCTTTTTTTTTTCACACGTGGCACTTGTTTTTTTATTGATTTCCCGCCTCACCCTCTTGGTCTTGAGCGGCGACGGAAGGCGCCATCATTGTACCTCGTTCTCGTGACGGGTGATCGCTGTTACAGCAGGGACAAAGATTGACGTGGGGTGTGAGTACGACACGTTGCCACCTGGCCGACCAACGTGGGATGCTGAGAACGACTTTCGGCTTGTACACGCCTTACGCGGTGAGCAGCAGACTGAGCGCTGCCCGCCTTGCGTTTTTGCATCGGTGTTGTTGGGATTTTGCCCCATGTCACGTGTGCCGAGGGGAAAAAATTACGCAGGGTCGCATTGTGGCTGCTGCGTTTATATCCCCTTCAATTGTATTTTGCGCCAGCCACCCGGACTCGCCAAATTCCTGCCTGACCCGCTTAATTGTTAAGTCCTCGCGACTTTTTCGAGTCAAGTCGGGCAACGGGCCAATTGGCGAAGCGTCACACACGCGTAGATACGGCTTGACAACAGCAAGACGCTTGCCTGCCGCACGGAAACAGGACGCGGGGAACGCAGCAAGCAGGTTTGGCGCTCGAAATACCAACACCCTTGGCAAATCCCTGCACACAACCCTGCGCATGTATGCCATCGCCATTTGCAGCTTTGCGTCTTTCACGTCGCGGCACCACATGAAACCTCCAAGTTCCCGACGGGTCACGGTGAAAACGAAAACCAGCGGGGGGTTCAAGTTTTTGTGTTCCGAGAAGTGTTGAGTTGAACCCTGGAGATCATTACATTCTGTCAAGTTGTGTACGTGGTTACGAGTCAAGTTTTCCCCCTGGTGTCTTGTCCACCCACACCCTAAAACGAACAACCCCACCACCCCTCGTACAACAACCTCTAGCTCGCACAAGATGCAGCATACCTACCAAAGGCGCAACACGCTGGCCCGGTGATGAGGGGATTACGAGTGAGTGGCGATTAGACGGATGGACGGCGCTTGGGCGGATGAAAACGTTACGACGCGTGGTCATGCAGCATGCGTGGCTGTCCAAAAAAGGTCACCAACCGCTTTGCCATCCAAACCCCTCTCGGTTCTAACCTGACAAAACTACCGTTTCGACTACGTGGATACAAACTGCGTGAAACTCTGCGGGGGAAGCAAATAACCCGAAGCCTAGGCCACCGTGCAATTGACCAACCGTGATCGTGATCCTTGAAGGATCCCGTCCGTCAGAGGGGAATGAACTGTTTAGAATTGCTCATCTGAGGCACCGATCCCACGGTCTAGCCCAATACTGTACAACCCAAAAATGGTTGCATAGCCATCACCCCCAAACAGCCAAACCACCACGGTAGCGTGTGGTAGCATCCGCATGCGCTCCACTCCGCTCCCCGCCGCGTCCAAAACCAGCAGGCTAGGTCGCCCGCTCATCAGTTTCCCATTCGCTTGATAAACTCTTCGCGTACCGATGCGATCGCCTGCACCACACGCGCACGCAAGGGCAAGCAAAACGACCAAAACGGGGTAAGACCAAAACGCGTTCAGGCGCGCCCGAGAGTGTAACATAGCCACGTGCCCGTCCGGTGGGAAAGCCGTCAACGTGCAACGCGCACGGGACAGGCCACGCCCTCTCGACGTCGCGCAGTTTGTTGAAGGTTGGCACAATCTGCAAAGCATTGCTGTGAACTGTTACCGAATAGAGCGAGTGCTTTGTTGACTAATCAAGCGGCACCCCCACTGGACGGCGCTGCGCTCCCCAAAACTGAACCTGATCGACACCACGAAGGGGCAAGCTGTTTTGCCTTCGAATCGGTGCGTTTGACACACCTGACCCCGCCCTTCTTGGTGCCCAAACTAAACACGATTCACACCAAACCGAGACCCGATTGCCTGTGGAGCACCGCTGTTCACACGCACGAAACTCTTGGCCGCATTTAGATTTTGGGTCGCAGCCTGCAATTTTCCATTGATTCACATCCTTTACCTGCTCTTCTCCTTACTTGAATCGCTTCACCGGTGGCGTGAAGCAATTGACTAGTGTACCACGCATTGCAGAGGATACATACTGTGCGATCCTGGACTACGGTCATCAAACAGGGGCGGCGGAACCGCACAGTATGGGCAGTCCATACCGCGACAGATGGAAAAAGGACGGGGTAAAGTAAAATACCCGTCCCGAATGTGCCATACAGCAGTACCGGACTGCCCGCTGTCCCGTACCTGGGGGATGTTCACGTCTGAATTCTGGGGGGCCCGCGCGTCAGCCCCGCGCATGAGCACCCTGTTCGCAATCGCCGAGGGGTCGATCTCCAAAATCTTTCCCGCGTCCACGAGCTCGTCGATGGACAGCAACACCAGGGCGAGGTTGTCCAGCAGAGTTCGCCGGTCGATCTAGAACCGCCGCCGGGGGGCAACGCACGCCGAGGGAAGGGTAAAGGCTACTGTAGGCGGGAGGAGGGGGGTCAGAACTGACAAGTGGTTAACCACCAACACACGAACGAAGTCGCGAAAATAACCAGAAGAACATAAGCTCGTCGCGGCAACAGCGCGGCTGCGTGAAACATCGCTCCCCCCGGGAGGATGCCTGCATCACCCTACGACAACAGAACACCCTAAAAAAAATCACACGGGTCGCTTGGGAAAACACCAGAAGCCATTTTGGCTGGCTCAAGCTCTTGATGGGTCAAACAGCGCCTGCTCCGCCAATCCCTTGGCGGGTGGAACCGCGCGAGGCTGGCGTACTACTATTTGCAGCAAGTCGCAAGCATGACAACGCTAAATGCCGCCCTTCGGGTCTGATGTAAATCTAGCTCTGCGCCATAACGCCTGCGACCGTAGACACTTCTAAAGGTTCGGGAGTACACACCTGTCCCCGAAGAAGGATGAGAAGGGTCTCGTGCAAAGCGTCCAGCACGGCTGTGAGGATGAGCTCGTTCTCATCCGTAGACCCAACCTGCGGTAACGCCATTTCACGTATCAAGACACTAATAGGACACAAACACACCGCCACACTCGATCGTTGCGGCAGTTCATCGAAAGACACGGCCGATTTGCAATGCTCCCTAGCCCGTCTAGCCGTCCTATCTTAGCCCGGCCGCGGCGACCTCAGAGTTTGCTTCAAGTACAAAACACAACCGAGAGAGGAGATGGCACGTCCTGCTACTGGAATATTTGGTGGCACTCTCGAGGTGCAGAATCGAATATTTCAACAGAGCCATGCCCCCCGGTCCCGAGACTACTTAGACTCACGACATAGAGATGCACGTCGAGCCCGCTCCTGAACACCGCCACGACGTCGTCAAGCAAAACCACGTCCGCCTCCGTGGGAGCATGTACCTAGCGCGCCAATCACACGCGTGCGACAGAGCAGGAGGGGGGACTCAGGCGGGCGGGCGAGGGGTGAGGGGAGAACGGTCGACGAGGAGCAGAGACAGAGCGAGAGAGAGCGAGAGAGAGCGAGAGAGACAGAGCGAGAGAGAGAGACAGAGCGAGAGAGAGTACGACCCGTGCATCCCGCAGCACGTACGACCAGACGTAAAGAACAGAGTGACCTTCTCGGAGGGTCCCTCGACACCCGTCGTTTCGCGGATAAACTCACGCTCTTAGTCTTTCTGAAGAGCTTGTGCTCGAACATCGCCTCCGCTCCGAGGTTTGGGAACTCCTTGCGGTCGTGGTACTTGCAAGAAACGCGGCCACCATCCTCGTCAAGGATGAGGATGGCCTTGACTTGCGGGAGCAGTTCCTGTTTCGTGTTGGCACGACATCACGGGGTTGTTGCAGGTGTTCGGACGGCGTCATGTGTCGAGCGATTGGTGTCGGCGGCAGGAGATGGGGCTCCGCAGGCGAGCATCATGGGTACGAGGAGGAGGGGTGGGGGTGGGCATGCAACACGCTACATCGGGGTGAAGAGAGAGAAAGAGTTGACGCGGGTGAGAAGGGTGGGTGTAGCCTAGTGAAGCACCCTTTCGGGATATGGCGATGCAACAGGAGTTGTCTTGTGTGCAACACTGGACCGCCCCAATATTGCTGCTGTTCTTCGCTACATGAGCCAGCCAGCATCGGCTACGATTCCTCTTTTGGGCCAACTAACTGGAACAACACGTTCTGTGATTCCCATAAATGAGGGTTTTACTTTTCGGGTATGGCTATTTTACCAATGCATCAAAGCCACATTCTTCTTCTACGCTACATTGGTCGTGATGAGATCGTTTTCAGCTGAAGCACACATGTACGAAAGAGCGCTGGTGCACGTGGGTGAGGTGCGAGATGGTCCGCTGCTGTGACCCCTCTTCTGGCGGAAAACCATAAACCGCAGTAGGCACACCGCTATTCAGGGTTCACATTTCATACTTCGATTGATTACGACGCCTCCTGCACCGCCTGACACACCAGGACAATCAACAGCGCGGTTGCGATAGCAGCAGAATATCGCTGCTGTGCTGTGGGCCTCTGTCCACCTCTCTCCTACAAAGTATGTAGAATCGGGAGGCCCTTGCTTCTTGTCCCTCCGCACAACTGGATACTCAGTAGACACCCCCTCCAATACAGATTCGACACACGACCTTGCAGTACAAGAGACCCTCACTCACCAACGCCATGGTGCTTTGCCCGGGAGAGTACGCGTCGACAGGCCGAGTAGCGCAAACACCAGCAGCAATGCTCTGATGGCTGCGTTTGGTTTGGCGACAAGCAAAGGGGGGGGGGCAAAGCTGAAAATTATTATATACCAACATTTTTCGTAGATGTTTGCTCTGCGGAGCCCCATCGGAAAATATTTTTTTTTCATCGCTGTGGTTTTACCGACCTCCTCGATGGATTGACCTATCGCGAAAGAGCGCTCCTGCTGTCTTGGTATTCACAGAAAACAGAGAGAGGAGAAGGAGCTTGGGGCGCGTTTTGATCGTGCTCGTGAAGCAGTGCTCGGGTGCATGCTGCGGGGCATCATCCCTAGCGAAAACTTCGAAAAACCGACTTCAAGAAGCCTTTCAAGAAGCCTTTGCTGGACATTTTGCGACTGCTGTCAGGGGAGGGATCTGCGGATACTGACGGCGATGGATGACCAGTGATATAAGGGATCGAGATCAGCCAAAGAGTCAAGCCTTGTGTTGTCCCGACGAGGTGGTGTCCCGCTCAGCACCTGCAACACAGAGGTGCGGGCTGCTGATATTTGTGGTGGGGGGCAGAGGTTGACTGCTGCCTGCCCGCAGCAGGCTACGGCTTGTGGGAGATTTTTGATTGTTTCCGCGAGCGGGTTTTGCAACTGCCGGGATGCAGAGCCCCTCGAAGAACCTGGCATCGCAGGCTGGAGGAGCGGGGGGCTCCCGGGTGCTGCACTTCGGATTGGCCGGCACGAGGGGAGCCGAGGCGCCCGCGCTCGTGGACTATATCCTCTTGGCAGAGTTTGACATCGACAGTGGCAGGTGAAACCATTGTATCATATTGATATTTACCTTCAAAATATGACGAGTTTGATTCATCAGGGGGGAGCGAGGCAAGGGAAAAAAACAGGAATTTTGTACAGTGTTATCCGCAGAAGAGCAGTCGTATGATACATGTTAGGTGTTGCACGCCAACCCTACGCTTAGTGAACGCCAAAGCAGTATTGCCAATCAGTGGATGGTGTGGTGTCACACGGATCGAGTCAGTATAAGTCTATCTTTGCTCGATGGGTAGGTTTTCTCCAACCGTTTTTCTTCGGCGCCAAACACGCCCCCTGCTAACCCTGCTGGATTGGTATGCATATTATGCATACGTTCTCTCTTCGTCCCTGCGGCCCTTTCGGTCCGTACCCCCATCTGGACCAGACAGATAGAACCAATATATGAACGATATGTGGATAGACTATGTCTTCATGACGTCCCTTGCACCAGGATCAAACAGAATTTGTACTGCTGGAGCTCGGGCAACTAAGCAGCACTGCGCCACGAACTGGCTTGTTGACTATGGAAATCGCATCAATTTTGCGCACGTTTTGTTGCAGCGACCAAACTGCTGCGCAGCAACTTCCCACTTTTCTTTTTCTAGAGCCACACGTGAAGACTTTGCAAATGTTTGTTTTTCGAGGGCACAAACCAACAACCCTTTTGTATTCCGAATGTCCGCAGCTCTTTTGAACTGAAAACTTTTCCCTGGAGTATGTTGCACCGGAATTTTTTCGGGCGACCGGCAAAAAACAAACGCCCTCTTGCGTGGAGCCTTGGGGGCGCGCATACCTGGGTGCGGGGTCATCAGCGACTTTCGGTCCACACCGCCACGCCATCGGTCGCATCCTTGTGGCGGGACAACAGGCAGGCAGCTTGCAGCTTGCCGTTGGGAGGCCGACGAAAGAGAAAAAGTTTTCGCAACCCTACGCATACAACAATAGATCCGAATTCCCCTGTACTACGGACTACTGTAGTGTTCTATGTTGCTTCCACGTGTCATGAAGAGGCCAGCCCTCATATAGCCCGCGATATGCAGACCGGTAGCGGAAAAGAAAATAATGCAACCATATGCATACCCATAGCAGTTTTCTCTCTTTCTTTTTCAAACATATGGGCATGAAACAGTCGTACCGTAGTTGTGCGTACCACGTATTTTCATGTACTGGTACTGTTTTTTTCGTTTTTACCTCTCTACAAAACGTGACAAATATCTCCAACGAATCGGCCTTTTTGTTCGTTGCTTTCGAAATTGCATTCATTGGTCGTACCCCCCCCACGCTTGAACAGGGCGGGGAGAGAAGAGTGGAACTCGGGGATCTCAACCTATCCCCGTCCACAACACCATCAGTATATAAACCAGTCACCGCACCATCAGGCATACTCTCAAAGTCATGCCTGCCCCCCACAGACTCAGATATCCATGCATACAACATATACTCCAAAGCATACATATGCAACGTTAATGCCGCACGACCTACGTTTCCACCGAAAGGAAATGCAAATTCAGAAACAAAATTGCCCGGCACCTGAAAGCCCCAACACGTTGTACATACATGTAAGTAAATGAAAATTGGGCTGGAAATGCTCCTAGCACAGCACTCATCCCCCTCTCACTTAGCGCCAGTTGTAGCAACAACTTCTAACTGCGCGCCCAATCCCCCGGGATGTCGTTTGCTCCACACACTCTCTTCTCTCCAAATTGCACTCATGTTCCGATATACCAACCTCAATACCACATCGATTGTGATGTACCGTGAAATACACCACTGCATGCCCATGTCTAGTCGCGCTATCTCGTCAAGCTCATCAACGGTCGCACACACGCGGTACCGCACGAACTCCCACGTTGGGTTCGCACCCGCCCCCAACCGCCGGCCCACAGCTACAGCCGACCCTGTCGACCATAACCTCACATGCAGTCACTGTGCCCTCGCCTCCTTTCGTGGTACAGCAACTTCGGCGCTCTCACCCGCACTGAGATTACTGCAAACATCTCTAACGCGACAGACACACCCGGGCAAGGACCCTCTGCCCAAGAGATCCTCGCCCCATCAGCAGTATCGACAAACGACCACACCTTCCTCGTTCACCGCTACTGGCAATCCGTCCTCGCCCTACCACTGACACCCCCAAAAGCAAAAGGGTGGGTGGGTGGGAAAGAAATAGATATCCTCCAAAATATCTCTTGGCTGCAGCAGCCTCCCTCGTGCTTCCTTGGGGCAGACCAACAAGTGCCCCCAAGTCTACTCTTCTAGTCAGGTTTCAGGCACTTCACGCTGACTCCATGCTGCTGCTCTCTGATTGGCCAACATATATTTCATCTTCCGCTCCTCTCAAAACCCAGATTTCAACGCCTCTGTCTCTGCAATCTTCTGCTTTGTTCGTTGCTTTCGAAACTGCATTCATTGGTCGTACCCCCCCCACGCTTGAATAGGGGGGGGAGAGAAGAGTGGAACGCGGGGATCGCAACCTATCCTCGTCCACAACATCAGTATGAACCAGTCACCGCACCATCAGGCATACTCTCAAAGTCATGCCTGCCCCCAACCTAACCGCGGACTGGTTCACCATACTGATCCTCTGTACTCTCTCTCCCCCCCTATCGTGGTTCGCACTATTATACCGACCAATATACCCTCATCACACACACTCCACCCCCTTCTTTTACGGCTCGCCCTCACCAGCCTCTGGGACTACGTCACCCCACTCTGTACCCTGTCCCGTTTGCCTCACTGTGTCACCCTCCGACGCCAAGGTACTAGAAACCCACTCTGCATCTTTTCCATGGTTCCTTATCTTCCCACCTGCAACGCAACGTCAGGGCAAGCAGCACAAGGTTAGCATGAACATTACCACGGTCCCCACAACAGAGACCGTCATCAAGCACATTCAGTACGCCAGAACATCGATGTTTTTGACCAACTAGTGGACACGTAGACAGTCCCCACAGAGCGCACAAGCGCTCCCGACCGAGGTGTCTCGGCAACGCGACACCTCGGCATCCACGATGTCGACGTATCGATGGCATGGCACCACCGGACATAGTCCCGGCCTCCAGCAGCCGGTGTTGCATGACCTACCAACAGCCACGTGCCTCCACCACGCCAAGGAGTTCACGCACACGGACGTCGACCACGCCCACACCCACCAAATGTTCCGGAACGCACAAAACGAGCGTGTTCCTCCGGCGATTACATATGGTCGCCAAATGCTAACGTAGGAGCTTCCGTGGACACCGATCGTTGGGGAAAGCAAGGGTATTGTACCTGGGAGGAAACAAACTGCCCACTTGCAACTGACGACCGCGCACCTCAAACCACCACCCAACTTCGAGATTATCATCACATTCAGGGCCCAACGCCCCGCACTGTATTTGTTCGTGCCAGTGACCCTGGACACCACCAACAGTCCGACGTGCTCTTGTTTATTTCGGCCACCTTGTCGAGAAGTCGTGGCGTGTCCAAGGTCCCACAAAAGTGTCAAAGCGAACTTCTCGAAGTTTGGATTGATTCTTGCGACGGTAACTGCGCACCAGACAGCACCATTTATTATCCAACAGACGGAAGCGATTGCCACCATCCACTCAATGACGCCCCACAAATTGAGACCACCAGTGCCAAAGATTACTGGACCATCACGGCACACCATGTGCACGTGCCTCACCGCAGCCGCGCCGGTTGCGGCCCCAAGACAATCCAAAACGTCCTACATGCGTGATGATTTATGGCGTATGAGAACATGAACCCAAATCCTGGACGCTACCGCCACCCAAAACCACAGTGGAGGTCAACCTACTTGATCCCCCAAATGAAGTGTGCACAAACACCGATGCCCGAGAAGGTTCCACAGTCCCTTGCCGGAACGCTTCCTGGACACCAGCCCCCTCNATTACTGGACCATCACGGCACACCATGTGCACGTGCCTCACCGCAGCCGCGCCGGTTGCGGCCCCAAGACAATCCAAAACGTCCTACATGCGTGATGATTTATGGCGTATGAGAACATGAACCCAAATCCTGGACGCTACCGCCACCCAAAACCACAGTGGAGGTCAACCTACTTGATCCCCCAAATGAAGTGTGCACAAACACCGATGCCCGAGAAGGTTCCACAGTCCCTTGCCGGAACGCTTCCTGGACACCAGCCCCCTCGCGGCCGAGAATAGGGACCAAAAGCCTAACACGACCGCCACCCGTCACAACAGCAGTCGCCGAAACTCTCCCTTGACACCATCACCGAAGATGATATTCTGCGACAGACTCTGATGCAACGGGAACAAAGTCTTTATCCCCACCAAGAGGGCACGACCCCACGAACATATTGAGTCGGACACAAATATTCCACGGAGATACCAGATCCGATTTTCTCTCCAAGTGCCACCGGAAGATCACGGATGATGGTTGGTTTCCTCTACCACGCCGAAAGGAGATACCCGCCCATCCAAACGTTGCAAACGCGGTGGACATTAACACCAGTGTCGTGTCCCAGCACCTTGCCTGTATGCTGGGTTTGGATTAGACGCGCGGCGTTTGCGACCATACGCCATCGTACCACCACATGACTCCACGCACCTCATGATGATATATGGGGCGCGGCCAAACGTAATCCAACGGCCACAACGAGCACCCCAACACGCTATTCACCCAAACCGGTCGTGCCAAACACGTGCGGCACGTGCCCAACAGATCTTCCGGGTTGCAAAAAAACTCAAATCGGGAACAAGTGCTTCAGCCGGCCACAACTTTGACATCGTGACTGATGCAGAACGTGAATGCCTCCATTACGCTGACTAGGAGAAACAAGCCCGCCCACTTTTCGGACTATCGCTTTGGTGACTCTGTCTGTACGTGAACATGCTCAGCTAGTGTGGTCACAACACAGGACCCCATCATCAAACGCGCCCTTGGTTGGCACGGGGCAGGGCGCCAAGCACTCCCGCCAGGTACCCCCAACATGTAAGCAGGGAGCGATGGACTGCGGCGCCCGGAAACGTGGCGACCGATCATCAACGCAAGACGCGTACCCTCAACTAGCCGGGAGAACTGGCCAACCACCATCACCGACCATCTGTTGGAACTACGCAGCCACGGAACGGCCACACCGCCGTTTCTTGTGACGGCACAACTTGACCTGCTGCACAGCAGCCCAATTTCTCGGACAATTGATTCTGTGACTTGTCGGTGTGCGTAAATATGCAAGCGTGGTTACCTCACACGACCTCCGCATCAAACGCACCCTCGATTGACGCGGGGCGCAAAACACTGCTGCATCACGTCCCCAACGTTGTTAACATGCTGCACTGCAGCCCAATTACGCGGACAACCGATTCTGTGATTTGTCTATGTGCGTAAATACGCTTGCGTGGTTACCTCACACGACCTCAGCACCAAACGCACCCTCGGTGGACACAGGGCACAAAACACTGCCGCATTGCGCCCCAAACATTGTTGACTCATATCGATGGACTGCACCGCCCGCACACATCGGCAACCGACCGTCGTTATCAAAGCACAACGCCGTTCACCTAGCAGTGAGGACTGGGCAACCCGCCATCACCAACGATCTGCTGGCGCCACTCAGCCACCGGACGGCTGCACCATTTTCTCGCGGCGGCGCAACTCCAACATGCTGTACTGGAGCCCAATTGCCCGGACGATCGACTCTGTGACTGCGTTTGTGTGCGTCAACCTGCTTCTGTGGTGTGAATACGACGCATGACCTCAGCAACAAACAATCCCACGACTGACTTGGGGCGCAACAATGCGGCATTCATTGCGCTCCCAACGTGTAACACGTAGCGATGGACGGCGCCTCCCAGAAGCACCGGTGACCGACCGTGCATCAATACAAAACCCCACTATTGAAGCATAGTGTGTGGGAGTAGTAAGATAGACAAACGCCTGGTCGCGAACTCCCACCCAACTTCACACCAAGTCAATGAAACAAGATTACATGCTGTGATAACACGGGTTACCCGCCGGTATTCATCACCACCCATGATAAATAGTGCACGCCACTAGCAACATGAAATCGTGAATATTCGCAAGGTTTCGCTCCACCGACGTACCCAGGAATATCGTAGCTCACGCTGTCCCCCACGGTGGAAACTGATGTGCGACAAGGAATGGACATTGACTACATCTCGAAGGAACATCCGCCAGTTACGGTGACCAGTCGCCAGTGCGATAATGTCGACACGAGACAGTTTGACCACTGGTCCGCCGTTTGGTGCGGTGTTTCACATTCATTCGCAACACAGATAGATATTGAGCATACGCATATGTGACACTGGGGTATCAGCGTAATCTTCACTTTACCAGTGAAGGGTATCAGAGACAGAGGAGCGCCAGAAAGAATTCAAGATTGCCTCTTTTTGCCAGTTCCCGATTGCGCCACCATCGTGCGATTTGACGAGACAAACACACTTTGTTTGTCACGTGGTATCATCTTTGAGGCAACCACAGGCATCACCAGATTGATACCAAGCACTGAGCGTACCGGGAATGCGAAGCGGAATTGTTCACCCCTAAACCAGGGCTGCATTCGTACGAATGAATACAGAGACAGGAAGGCGCTTCCGACTGCGACACGCTATGGGTTGCACACCAGCCGCCGTAACTTCAAGTAAGACGCAGCACGCTGCGACGCAGCATCTCGTATTCACCCTGCTGTGCCTAAAAGTAGATCCGTATTGTTGGTGGGACTGAACAAGCCATCGTCCCTCCCTGTGAGCCCGTTTGTTGACAACAGTAGCATGCAGCCCACGCTTTCTGAAAAGGCACTCTCTCTTCTTCTTGGAGCCTCGCACCAGCAAACAAACGTAGACGATGCAGCAGCGCATCGACAAAGTTTGAAACGTGGAAGAAACCTACCTCCCGTGTCGCCACTGCTGACCCAACGTAGAGAAAACTTCCGCAACACAGACGTACCTGAAAAGAAATAGATCTCCTCCAAAATACCTCTTGGCTGCAGCAGCCTCCCTCGAGCTTCCTTGGGGCAGACCAATAAGTGCCACCAAGTCTACTCTTCTAGTCAGGTTTCAGACACTTCACCCTGACTCCATGCTGCTGCTCTCTGATTGACCAACATATATTTCATCGTCCGCTCCTCACAAAACTCAGACTCCAACGCCTCTGTCTCTGCAATCTTCTGCATTTTAGCACCGTGAGACATGCCTACCCCAGCTCGGTGCCGGGAGTATCGGACGACTGGTTCGCGGAGCACATGCTCCCGGAGGGCGCCCACAACCACCCTCTCGACTGGACTGTCATGTTTCTCAACCGCGACAAGACTGCGCTCGACGAGGATTGGCCGGCTTACTTCGACGGCGATGAGCAAGCAGGTTCGGCGGAGAAGGTGGGTCCAGGGTCGGTCGTCTCCCTTGTTGCTCACTTTGTTTTTTTCCCACCGAAATATGCATGTAGATTGTTCAGCGGCGGACTCTTCTCTTGTCTGTTTTACCGTGTATCTTCTTTTGTGTGCATCGCCTGCCTGCGCTACTCGGCTGGCCAGAACGTGATTGTTTGCACTTTTTCGGACATTTTCGGCGAGGGGCCCCCCGCTTTCGGTGATCGGCCAATTTTTTTTCGGTGATTCAAGTTCCTCAGTTCCTCGGTGACTTTTTTCAAATTCAGTGATTTTGGCGATCGCCTTCTGAAAACCTGAAAATCTGTATGTAAACGGTGCGTGCTACTGCTGTGCGTCGTGAGGTATTGGCTTGAGAAGGGATTCACTCAAAGGGTTTCGGGGCAAGAACTGTACCCACGGAGCCCCTGAAAATAGAACTCTTAGAAAAAACGGTGAAAATCGGCGAGCGTCGGCAGTCGGCAAATATCGGTGAAGCGCCTCCCGTTTACGGTGATTGGCCACTTTGTTTTCGGTGAATCAAATTCCTCGGTTGTTACTTTGACTTTTTTTACATCCGGTGATATTCGGTGATCATCTACGGAGCACAGCAGTCCTAAATTTGAACAACTACCGTGAGAGTCGGAGAGTTGGCACGGGCCGTAGAGATGGCACCGGTCGGAGAGAGATGGCACCTGGGTGCGAACCCCCCCCCGAGAAAAAAGCGTGTATTCGATTTACGAACAGGGGTCGGTGAAATCGCACCCTGTGCGATCTCCCCGACCCCCAAATCCATGATTCAACTCCTTTTCAGCTGCCGGAATGAGGTACATGCGCGTACCTTTTACACGTGGGGACGGAGTCAGCGGAGCGCCACTCCCCTAAGGATGATTGGATGGTCGCGGTTCGCGCGGGATGCCAGTTGTTTTCATATTTTCATTAGTATGGAAGTTGCCAACCACTCAACCAAACACACAACGTACAAGCCGCACCCTACTCCACCTTACACAACCCGAAACTTTTGTTCTGCTGCGTACGTACTGGTATCCGTAGGAGAAGACCGAAACGAAAGCGGGGAACAAGCAATTGATACCGTGTGTACTGGTACCAACTCAAATGCGCTATTTCGCCGCTTTTCACGGGGTATGTTGCATGTCTATTTCGCCGCCTTCTTTCCGGCTCATATATTAGGCCTGTCCTCCATCGGCCGTTTTGCTTGTATGACGGAGAATAAGAAGGTAGAATTACTTGAAATTAGTATAGAAATAAAGTTTGTGTATCTAAATCGAAAATAAAACGGCCGATGGAGGACAGGCCTATCATATATACGCGAGTGTGTGCAGAACACCGTGTGCGTGCGTGTGTACCTACACTGATACCAATCAATACTATCGCACCGGTCGGGGAGATGGCACCGGGGTGCGTGCATACAACACCTGTGTGTATTTAATTGGGGATGGCACCGGTCGGAGAGATGGCACCGGGGTGCCTTGCATATTCTAAACGAAGTGATTTAATTACATTTCCGCACCGGGGTCGGAGAGACGGCACCGGGGTGCGTGCATACAACACCTGTGTGCATTTAATTGGGGATGGCACCGGTCGGAGAGATCGCACCGGGATGCAACACCTGTGTGTATTTATTTCATCGGGGATCGCACCGGTCGGAGAGATCGTATCGGGGTGCCTTGAAAATTCTAAAAGGATTTCATTGCATTTCCGCACCGGGGTCGGAGACATGAAACCGGTCGGAGAGATGGAACCGGGGTGCGATAAATAACCCGAGGAACAAACATTTTAAGATAACGATCTCACTCGGTGCCAACTCTCCGACTCTTGCCGTATCCTTCTCGTAATTGCCCCCCCCCGCCGTCTCTTCTCTCTGTTGAGTGTTGATCCTGGGTTGTTCGCTGAGGGTGGTAAACAACAAAAAAATCTAACCCTTGAATTGCGATGAATTTATCCCAGATTCTTGTATGGAATATGGCGGTTAAATAATTTGTTGTGGTTTTGTAAAAAGAAGGAGCGAGCCGCAGCAACTTCATCAACAATAAAAGTAACAATCAACGGCTGTTTTGCATTCACCCGACGCCGGACTCATGTTGAAGGGACGGAGCTCCGCCGGAGGCGTAGGTGTGGTAGGGGACAAATCGTACGAGCCCCGATTAGCTAGGGGTGGCGAGGGGGAGGGAGAGGGGGAGGGGGGTCGGAGCTTCCTGCACTGCATCAATCTGGTTAGAAAACAGGACGACCCTACGGTCCGGCGAGGCGCCGTGGTGAAGGCCATGTGCATTTGCTCGCGGTATAACTACATTGAGGTGGGTCCTGCGGTTCGCTTCGCTCTCGTTCCACTAAATAATATCTGCTGAAGGTTCCACCCTTAACGTGCGAATCGGTCAAGCCGAAAACCACGTGCCAATGAGAACCGCAGTGTTGAGTTTAAGGCGAGGTCGATTCAGGATCTTGATGTGGTCGAGTCAACGTCGCCGCTTTCTGTGTATATCTGGCGTTTCCTGGCACCCTGCTCCGTTCGGACCATGCGCGAACCAACGCCAAGAGCAATAAAACTTCCTGTCACAACACTCCGTCACTGAATTAATTTCCTCTGGTGCCACGTCTGGTCAATGTACTTGTAGGTTTTCCGGCCGATGCTCATGATCGCCCTCGAGCAATACTACCAAAGGCAGGTCCCGGAGGTGTTGGAATCGCTGTTCGAGGCGCTCAACTCCGCGCATCTCGCGGGGGCTCCGCGACCGACGCCTTGGGAGCGGGGGTTGATGCGAAGGTAAATCGTGTGGAGTGCCGCACTCGGAAAGAGAGTGCTGCACGCTTCTTCTGGAGATAATATTGCAATCCAAGGCAAGCACCGCAGGAGGGGTGGGTAGGAGAGGAACCCTTCTGTGTGGCCGCGGATTGGAGCGCACACCTTAGCGCTAAGCGATGAAAAGAAGTATGAACATGGGGACCTGCGACCCACCGCTGGGGAACAGTGGTTAATCGATCTGTGGATCATATGCCCCATGCGGTATTTGCGCTACTGATATCGGGGCAGGATTTCTTTGGCATGAAATATATTTTATCGGGTGCCGGCAGTCTGGCAACCCGTGCCCATGCCCCCTTCAAGTGCCCCCCGTCCAGCTTTTCCCACTTTTGGAAGTCGGCAAGCCTGCGCTGCGTGCCCTGGACGTGAGTTTTTCCGATTCCTCAACCTGCATGTTTTTGCGACGTTGTGTGACAGAGGGGTCGCGGACAAGCACATGGGGACTGTGCCTGTCGAGCACCTTGCCGCTTCGTGGACGTACATGATGAGCTTCAAGTACGGCGAGCGCACGGTGCAGGCCTCTATTCCCCTCTACGCGTTCCCTGACGAGACGCTCAGCCCGTCCGTGACGCTGCTTGTCAACCTCTTCGGGCAGGTGTGCATGCAATGTGTGACTTTCGTGGCGTCATCGTGTTTTTTGGACATTTTGTGTTGTTTTTGTTGGCGTTGGTGTTGTTGTTGCTGGTGCGTTGTCGGCGTTGTTGTTGATGTTCTCGATGTCGTTGGCGGTGGTAGCGGTAGTGTGAGTGGGACTGCTGTCACTTTTGCCCAGTTTGCGTGTGATTCTGCGAAAACTCAAACCCCCGAAACGTGGGGAGGACTCCTTGTACAGCGTAGACCCTGTTTGTAAATCAGCTGGTGTTGGTGATGCTGCTGCTGGTGTGTTTGTCGTCGTTATCTCCCTGTGTGGTTGGTGTACACACTTGGGGAACGGACTCCAGAACGTGATGGCCATCTACAACGCCGTCTTGACGGGGAGGCGTGTCATCTTCGTCGGGTACAATCACGCCGCCGGCGACGTTTGCAAGATCGTTCTCGCCGCCTGCGCGCTCGTCAGCCCTCCAATACAGGTGGGCGGAGGAGGTAGAGGGAGAGGGAAAGAGACATTATGTTTGAGAACGAGAGAAGGACGCTTTGTTTTCTTGTCCCTTCTCTTCTCGCAAACTCCTGAAGGACGATTGAGGAACAGTCTTGACACGTGGCGTTCTGCTGCGACGTCTACACACACCTGCTTGCCGGTTCGCTGCCTGTTCCTCCGCTGATCATTGACTCTGTCCCCCGCCGACTCAAAAACATGCACCTTGACTTAGCCAGAAGATTTTGGAATAAACTTTAAAAACTTTATGTTTTAGGAAATGATATTTTTTTAAGTTAATGTAAAAAAGGAAAATCCTTGTTAAGGACAGGTAAGCAACTGGGATGAAGTCGTAACAGCGTACTTGTAGGGGAACCTGCGGCTGGAAAAAAGTAATTAGTTTTTTGCAGCCACGTATTAAATTTTATTTCCAAGAATATCTAAAATTTTAGTACCAAAGCCAACTTCTTGAAAATAACTCCAAGATGATATTCTGCATTTTTTGCGCGGCGACCGCCATACCTATGCTTATCCCACGTATCATGGTTTGCGCGTGAGCAGGGAATCTTGCACCGAGCGTACCCTTACGCTAGCCTCTCGGACCTGAGCTTCCTCGAGACGCCCAGCTACGTTGCGGGTGTGACGAACCCCATGTTCGAGACGCACCCTGAGTGGTGGGACGTGCTTTGCCAGCTGGATTTGCCGAACGGTAGCGGGACCGTGATCACAACAGAGGAGATGATTTCAGACGGGGGTGGTGGGTGAGCTTTTTTTTGCTGGAATCAGGTCACGGGGGTGCTTGCTTGTGTGTTGGTTGAGTTTTGGCGTTGTGTCTGCCTGTCTGTCTTGTCTGTCTTGGCAGTCTGTGTTCCCTCCGCTCGTTCTTTCCCGTCTCTTTCTCTCTCTGCCTCTCACGTGTCCTTCTTTTGTCTCTTACTGAAAATCACCCCTTCCGTGGGAGGGGTTCGGTTCGCGACATTCTCACCCCCCCCATTATCCGCCAATAACTTTGTACGTGACCTAACGATGATTTGCAGGCTACACCGCGTAAAATCCGGCGGGGTAGGGGGCAGCATGACCAACACCAACGGGGAGGATAAGAGCAAGACGGGCGGAAAGGATGCCGGTCTCCTTTTCCAAGGAGATGCGATCTTCGCGACAAAGCTCATAGCCGGCGTCAAGGGAGGAAAGGGGGAGTCATGGTCGCGCTGCGAGTGTTACGACTATACGCAGGCAAGACGGCGTACGGCATGCACCCGCGCGAGGGAGGTCCTTTGGTTGTAGCATGTCGACGACACACTCTTTTTCATGGCAATCCTTGTTCCCCCCACCGCTTTTCTGTGGGACCAACAGCGGTAGTATGTAGTGTCCATTGTGGACAACGTGTAGCTGATCGTTTTATCATCTTCCTGTCGTTCCACCTCATGGACATGCGCTTGTGTGTATCACGGGGTTTTCCGATGAAGCGTGATGATAACAATCTATGACGGGAACGGGCTCCAGCGATGTCGAAGACTATCGTAAAGACCGACCAAGATGACCTCGCTTGTCTCTCAGCATTTGACTTGAGCGATATCTATCATCGCGTTCGTCTTCTGCTGGACCGTTGTCCCCATCATGTGATATTCATCATCACCGGCACCGGCATTTCTTTGCCCCATGCGAACGTGCTCTGCCAACAGGGGCTCGTGAATCTGGTGCTTGATCAACACGCCGGTCTGCACGAGCGTCTCACATCTGTGTCCCTTGATAAGGTGGGCAGGGAGGCGTGTTCGCCGAGAAGGGGTCCGGGTGGCGGGGTTGTTGGTTATGTTGGCTGACGTTATTTTTGCTCGTCACGGCGCACTCACGCACTATATTTGAGGTGGGCACCGCATATCATGTAACTTGTGCCGTATCGGGGGGTTTTAAGGTGGTTGGTCGCATGTACGGCGGAGGATTGCACTCGTGGTCTCATGATAACATTGCTCGGGAGTTGCTTGTTTACTTGCGGATGACCTACCGAGCTTTGAAGAATTGATTGGCGGAGGGTGCGTGTTTGCTGGACACGGCCTTTGCGGAAAAATATGGAGCAGGGCAGGAACTCGGTTAACACTGCCCGCGCCAATGGAGACTTGTTGATATCATGCTATCTACTTTGGCGATGTACAGTAGTTCTTCTGGACGACTACAAAGGAGGTGTTTTTTCCCCGGCGTATGTTGTTTCACTTTCTCCTCATGTCCCCTACATAGCTCCCCGCCAAGATCACCGTTTACGTGCTTCGATCTTGCGCCACGCGACACTCCAACGCGCCATCCCGCTGCCGTCTACCTAACGCTGCTGCTTCCTTCTTGAAACCACTATTTTTCGTCTTCTCTTTGTCACGGCGGCGGCGACGACTGTGCCGTGCAGAAGATGATCGCGAACGAAGGCCGGTTACGACGCCTCAGAACGTCCGCAGGCATCACCGAAAGAGACGTCGACCCGTGGGCACGGTGCCGGGGGCCGGGCGGCGGGGCGGCGGCTTGCGGCCGAGGGGTTGAGCTGAGGAACTGCATCCGTCGGATTCAGCTGGAGAAGTCTGTCGGCGAAGAGGTTGCGGCGGAGGTAAGCCGAAAAGAAAGCGACGGCGATGAAAATTGGTTTCTCGTCGGTGCAGTCCCGTCCATCTGTTTGTACCTGTGGAGCTCGTGGCGGGCTTTGGAATGTGCGCTAGATTAGTGCGCGCAAGAAACCCTAGTCCATTCCACGCCCTCCCAAAATGTCCAGCACGTGCTCGCAGCAAGCCCTATTCATTGGAAAATTGTCCAACAAGGCCCGCGCTTGCATGCGAAACACAAGCAACCCACCCATATGCATGCCGGGATTGGTCCAGGCTTCTCACCTCCCCACCAAACCGAGCGACGACGTGCGATAGAACAACCGAAGGGCCTGCTTCCCATATGCGAATATCCCTTGTACCACCCGTCGTTGTATCTACAACCAACGCCTGACACGCCGCCAAACATCGCCGTTCCTTGTCAGGCCTTTGAGCTGCTCTCCGAGTGCCTGGACACGGAAGCCGAGTTGCAGGTGTTGCTAGGATTGCTACCGGAGTCGAAACGAGGAGCTGGGCTGCTCGCCCTCGGTCTACTCTCCCGAAGTGCCCGGTGCGTGCACTTGCGTGCGTGCGTTTTGGATCGGCCGCGGTAACAGACTGACCAATGAAAATACATCAGTCATAATCCGCCTGGAAAGCTTTTCTGAAGGCAGCCATGATCTGGGACCCCGCGAGCTGCGTTTGTGTGAATGCGCGCCACTCCTTTTTCTCTGGAGGTCGAGTTATTCTGGCAACTTTCGTCGTTTTTTGTGCTGCCCCGGCCGGGGCTACACAAAGGTTTGCCTTTGGTTTATCACCTTCCCTGTTCATGAGTAGACTATAATAAGGTATGGCGTCCGCCCGCACGTGGGGCGGGACGGCCACCTGGATCACACAACCGTCTTGGCGTATGTATGGATCGGTTTGAAAGTAAACCTGTGGGCGGTATCGACCTCTGAGCGTGGGAAGCCGTCGTGATTCGCCGAGCGGGCTTTGAGGCATTCCTCCTGCGCGTCATGTTAGTCGTAACTCATTTAGGGCGTCTGTCGATTTGAACTCTTGGAAAATCATCTCTGTGACAGAGGCATGCCGAAAGGTTCACCACAAGTTCACGAGAGGAGGAAAGGCGACAGCAATCGTGTGACGCGGTGCAACTGTTGTCGTTTCACCATAGACGAGTAGTGGACGGTTTGCGGTGGAACTACGATCGTTTCGCGAGAACCAAATGTGTTGCTGGAAAAAGTGGTTGATTTGTTTGTTAGTGATGTCCACAGAAGGTGATGGCGTGCAACCCGCAACAGCAGGTAGCATGCCATCCTTAATGCCAACTTGTAGCGACGTGGCTGGTAGCGACCTGGCTAGCGTGCGAGATCGTACGTCTTCAGTACAAGGTCAAACAGAGATGAAACACAAACCAGGGAACACGGAAGAAAGTTGGATTGTCAAGTTTATTGCGTCGTGACGGACGTGCCCCACCGTCATCTCGCCAATAAGCTCGACGGAAGCATGCTGTACGGCCAGGCAATGGTCTCATCATGTGTGTGTGGTCATCCGCCAAAGAGCCGTGTTGGATGATTGAGGGCGAAAAACCACAACAAAATGTCGACTTGGGACATCACAATCATAAAGCTCACTAAAATCAAGATTTACGCGTCGGAAGGAATTCTGCTATTAAAAATGCATAGAATATGTTCGCTGCCGTTTGTTACTCCGTGCAAAAAAACGCCTGCCTTCGGCAGCTACCGCTGCCCTGTACTGGTGCTGCTACGGTGTGTTGAGCAAAGGCGTGAGACACCGACCTACTTTGATGAAACATGTGTAAAGCCTAGATATAACCCTTTCCCCCGTCATTTTTCGATCCTTGATGCAGCACGCGGCGGAGCACGGTAGTGCTGTTCAAGAAGCTAGAGTCTTTTGAATCGACTAGGCCAGCGGTCCTGTGCATGAACGACTTCTTCAAGCTGGCCCTCTCTAGGCAGGCGCAGGAGCTAGAGAGTGCCCCCCCTGAAACGGCAACGTCCGCCTCCGCCGGGGGGTCTGCGGTTGTTGGGGTAGGGGGGGGTGGAGTGCCAAGGCGTCGTTCGATCCGCGCGTGACATATGCGATAGGCGGGAAGCTCTTGTGTTTTGTACCGCTCATAAGAGCAGGTAGACTTTAGCACGCACTTGTGTCGAAAACAACGATATTTTTATGAAGTATTTCCTTCTTGGTGTGTGGTGTATATACTCTCGTCATCGTCTTGTTTTCTGGTTTCAAGTGGGAAATGATTCTGCGGGGCGTGCGATAGTTTGTCACTAGCGACGGGAGATAAAATTTATTCCGCGTGAAATGCGTTGGAGATAAGTATGGTTGGTTCGATTTTTCGTCATTGTATCAAGAAGGAGCCGTTCCGAAGAACACGCTCGACGATGGTGTGTAAAAGGTAGTTTCTTAGGCGTTCATGCAGTCGGTCCAACCCCGCTGCGTATGTCAGCCCCCGCCACTTTTCACGCCGGTCCAGACCGAATTTCTATACGACTCGTGATTGCCGCAATGTATTGCAATGTGAACCTTGTTTCCACTATGCTTGAGAGGTTTCCAAGTGCGGTCGAAGTTGTCGTGAAGGGACAAGGCGAGTGCTGATACCTCGTTGTTATCCGCTACGGAGAATGCGAGGTACAATGTGGTGTAGTGTTGACGGCGGCCAGATTGGGCGCACTTTTTTTTTTCACTGTTGCGTGTGAGACCGGGAAGATTCGAAGGGGCTTCCGGCAGTCTACTCAAACGAACGGATGGGTGTGAAAAGGGGACGAACCAAGGGCTTGTTTGGGAGAGACGGTGTTCTTGTGACCATCCCGTCTTGCTTGTGGGGTTTAAGGTGTGAGCCGCGGGGGGCATAATCACAGTGGTGAACAAAACGATAGCGAAAGGTCAGACGACAAAAATTACCACGGTTTCCGGCAAAGGTAGGAGGCGGGCGGTATTGCGGTTGTGCAAGGGAGATGGCAGACAACATTTTTTTAGCCTCGACTTCTTCCCAATACTATTTTCTTCGGGAGACATGTGTCGATGCTGTAGACAGAAGGTGAAGACTGGAGCTTAAAGATTCGGTGGTGCGGGTGACGGGTGTGTGAGCGTCGAAAAAGAAGATGATGCGTATCGGGTGATAGGCTATGCGGTGCACGACGAGTGTCTCGTCTCCTCGCACACGTCGGCCTAAGGTGATATTTGGGAGGCGGCCTGCACTTTTTCCAGCCGCCTCGTTCTTCGAATACGTTGCCGTTCTTCGACCGCTGGATTCGCCTGCCGTGTTTGTTTGTTGTTGTGTGCTCGACGTCCTGCGCGAGGCATGGCTCATCGAAGCCTGTTAGCCACTGGCTTGTTTGTCCTCAGAGCTTTGGGCATCGCTGCTGTATGAATGTGTCTTTGTCTTGGGGTATCCACCAGTACTTGGGGCAATCGCGCACACAGCGTTGGTATTCCTTGAGTGACATGTACATGGGGTGGAGGCACGGGTGCGCGTGGAGAGAATCAGTTTGGTCAACTTTTTGAGCTCGCGAAGCCAAGAACGAGTGCATTGCACGTCAGCACGAGCTCCGAACCCAGGGTTCGATTGCAATCAACCCCAGAACTTATGCCCTGGGGAAAACCCAGCGAAGTGGAGCGCCGAAAGGGAAAGGAGGGACAGCGCTCTTGGAACTGCTTACAGATGCTGAATTTCTCCCAACCGTCTTATGTCACGATACG